GTCTAGAGTAAACTCGACAATGATTAGTAGAGAGTCGTGTGGTAAAATGGTAAGTGTCTCGCCTTGTACGCTGAGGGTCCCGTGTTCGATTCCTATTGAACGTTCTTCGTTTTGCAAAGGTAGTCCACAAACCCAGACATGATCCACAAGTGGTCAATCATGTATACATGCATCTTTGGTAAGTGGGGTTATCATAATTCGAAGATGTTGTGCCCCGAGCTGGTCGTTGCTTATCTGTCAAAGACCTTTAGCTCTTGTGACATTACAGAAGAGCCGTCGAGGAAGGAGCAGACTAACGAAAACTTTCGAGGGCTTGCAAAACGAAAAACCTGCAACAGGACCCGAGCCCCGGACCCTCAGCGTACAAGGTGAGACACTTACCACTTTACCACACGACCCCTTTTGGTCATTGTCGAGTTTCCCATAGACTTGCCGGTGGAGGAGTCATACGGAAGGAGGCCCTCGTAATTCCGTTCCGAATGATGCGTGGCACCTGGAAACAGCATATTTGGCATCAGCGTACCAGGCCGATTGCAAATATATGTGTCTTACTCCGAAAGCGCGAGTATGTTAGGTAGCTTCCCTCTTAAGTTTGATTGCTTACAAGATGAACAAATTATTTGCTTACAATAGAGCTTGTTTACCCCACATCCAAACATTCTGGCCTCCAGGGGGGGGGAGGGGGTGTGTGATAACTCAAATGACAAGTTCAATTTTCGCGGTCAGACAAACATGCAAAGCTGGAGCTTTTAAGACAAATAATAAGTGAAGATCGTCAGTGGAGATCACTTTACAACGCAACACAATAATTTTGCGGTTCGCAAGTGGGACCAGCTCCGAGCTGCTTGCAAACGTGCTGCCGCCTAAAGCTTACCGTCTCACCCTATATATATAACTATATCTAGATTATATGCATCAATTCAGGGACCGTGCATAGTAGGGCGATTTTACATCTTGAACAGAGATCTCTGTGTCTTGGCTCGCAAATGTAACAATATTTCTGGTCCTTGAAAGTTAAGTACTTAACTCATACGCAAGCTGTAAATTCTACACCTCATTGCTGACGAACAACTGAAACAAGGAAATTAACATGAACTTCGATCCGTCTAAACCTTAATTTCACTGTGGAATTTTCATCAAATTAGCTTGTGGGACCTTTGCGTGCAGGATCTTGCGCGCAACATTGCCGGCATACGAAGAGATGGGCTTTTGCGTGTCTCCCTTAGTCTCGTCGTGGATATTGTTGAACTTGGAGGGAACTTTATCTTTGGCATCGTCATAAGATATCAACAATTCGCAAAAAAGGTACAGAATATTATTCACTATAATTGTTTTTTTAGTAGGCACTTTTTTCGACATCATAGTTGGTGATTCTCAGCACGTTGCATTTGCAGTCTTAAGTGCCTCGCAATTTTTTCAAAGTACCGCATTGCAATATAAAAGGAGCGTCATGGCGTGACTGCTATCACTTTTGATAAATTTTATCGCCAATTCTTTGTCCTACTTTTCTTAGCTCGTCACTCACCTAGTGTCAGAATTACTGCCGTACTCAAGCTTTACTTATTATTAGTTGCCGCACCCACCAGCAAATATGAATAAGAGTATATTCTATCGATGGCAAGGTAATCCTTGCGATGACAAATCAAATTTTATTATAGTGTGTATTTCGCTCCTAGAACGTTCCAAGCTCTAAGCTCCGCTTTAGCATATGCTAAATCTCTGGAATTTGAGGCAAGCAATTGGATGCTGAAACTGTAGGGCTGATTAATAGAATAATGTTGATTAGAGTATTTTCGAAGGATGCAGTTGCCGTTAGTCCAGATAACCTAAAGTCACTACGGTCACAAGCTGTAACAGATAAAAAGAAGGTTAGAGTGACTGCAGAAAAACCACCACAGATTACTATTATGGTGGACTCAATTAATTCTATTTCCTTCACTGTAAGAAGTTTAGTATTCCACATTTGGGTTTTGGTTAAGATTCGGGTCCCGGGATATGAGATAAGCGCCACCTCTTAAGATAAAATGTCTTTGGTATGTCAAAAAAAATTTATGACATTATCGACCTTGAAGGAGTTCGAAGTGTCATAAACTCGTGGTAATCATAAAAAAGGGTTTCTTGGACAGTGGCGTCATTTTTAGAGTTAAGGAGTTCGAAGTGTCATAAACTCGTGATAATTATAAAAATTTCTTGGACAGTGGCATCATTCTTAGAGTGAACAAAAACTAGTGCGGCGTTTGATAAATTTTGAGTGAAAAAATGCTTAGAGCAACTTTTGTAAGAATTTTAAAGTTGTGAAATTTCCGTCGGTGTTGGCTTTCGTATAAAGCATACGTTAGGAAATTTCATGATGACAGAGCTTCTGCGTAAAATACATAGCTTGTGTTAAATTTGTTTATCAGATGATGAAGGATTTGTGTTAACTTGAAGGAAAATTCTCGGAAAGCTTTGGTAAATTTCATTTTGTTCATTTTTTTTTGCACGCGGTCGAAATTCAATGGCAATTCTTTGTACTGACTTTATCGGTGTCGAATCGTTCTTGTTTTAGCAAAGGTTTCACAATTTTTCCCGCACTGAACAAACAAAGTTGTCCCAATCTTAATTTAATTGAATGAAAAGCTTATCGACTACGCTCGAATTTTGGTTACAAACGCACAACTACAGGCTGTCAAACTTGCCTCGGAGCAACTCTTTTCGCCAATGACGTTGATTCTGTGAGCCAGCCACACTTGAATGGTGAGCTCGAAAGATGTGCAAGGTGTTGATCAAACAATATTTATAGTAATCAAAAATTCGGTTATCAGTGCGTAAAGGCAACACCTTCAAAGATTTACTTAACGGGGAAAGTTTGGGGTGCATATTGGTCAAGTTTTCAATTTCTTCGAAAATGTTTGCAAGCACCACCTTAGAGTCGCGAATGTTCCTATTATCAGCTCTAGTTATATTTCTCGTAGCCACCGAAAAGCACTCCTGCACTGATTATGCCTGAGAAAATAGTACACAAGCAGGCTAAGCCTGAATCGACCTTTTCACCTTTTGCGCATATAAATGCATAGCTGAGGACAACTACGCATGTTTCGTGAATAACATAGTGTTTTGCAGTGAATTTGAAATTCTCAAACAGGATTAATCTGCATTAGGTTAGAGCCGTATGAAGAATTATTTCGCAAGTGCCCTGAGGCATTTTTTACGACCATAAATTGAGAGTTCTCTTAACACCTCTGGTGAAAGAGCCACAGAACTCTAGATATGTCAAAGGGAATCTGCATTTGTTTCGACTGGAAAATTAAAGGCGAAAGATTCTCAGTAACCTTAGAAAAAGAACCTTGACGCTTCTGCGATACTTTTGTTGCAAAATCTGTAAGTTATAGCAAAAGAATATATAGCAGACCTCTCGGATTTGGAAAAAGGGAAAAATTGCGGTACCTTGTGGGAATAGCTGTAGTACTTTGGGTTTTGAAATGATACTCGAGTCGCTATACAAAAATTATGTCCAGAATAAAATAAGGTGCGTTGACCATCTATAACAAAATGAATATCCTTAGATGAGTCTTACGAGATGATGCCAGATCTACATTTAAGCATTCACTGTTCGAAAACATTCACATGAACTTATTTCTCCTTGCACAGAGTATGCGAAAAATTGACGGTGACTTTGTCAGTGACACAAACCACTCGCAGTTATGATCTCATTTGCATGCCACAAAATGCTGCAATCCTTTTTTGAAAACCATAGTTTCACCATAGTTAGCCTAATGTGATACATATACATGTGTAAGCGCTAAATTATCAAATAAGTAGTTTTGAAGATTGCGAGAACGAACCCAACTTTTGACTTTGGTTGATTTTGGTACTTGCTACACGTTTCTAGGATTTCACTTTATTGTAGGTTGCAGCCGAAGACTTCGATGGGGTAGAGGACTATATGTCGCCGAAAAAGGGCGGTCCCCGCGGTCATTTGCGACAAATACGCACCCTTCATGCGCGGACATGCGTTCCTACAGGGAATCCGCGCGGGACTCTTCCAAATTCGGCGACATATAGTCCTCCACCCACTTTGATGTGCATGTCCTTGAATAACAGAAGCAATTCTAAACGGATGCAAAACGGATTTCTAAAGCACATCTGCATATTGCGGACAGCTCCGACAATAAATTATATTTTATGGTTTCTGTAACAAAGGTTGAAATTTTTAAAATTATTAAACTTGTACTTAGCTTTTGAATAAAGAGATGTCATCAGAGCGCACGCCTTACATTTTGTTGGAATCACTCAGTGAGTTTGGTTCTTGCAGAATACACTATCAATTCACTCGGCAGTTTATATTCCACCTCATGCCAATCACGTTCTCCTAGCGACTTCAAATCACTTTATGCCTTGAACTCTCAATGGCGTCATTCTAAACGCCCATGAATTCCTTCTAGAGAACCCTTCAGCAGATGTTGACGGCAACTAATGCAATCAGATCACCAAGGCGCATGTAGTTTTGTGCATAGCTTCCACATCCACACTGCGACTTTGTATTTCCCCTTGAATTGAAGTTTGAGATTCAAAGGAAATTCTTATCGGCTACTGCCGGAAGCGGAAAATGTCTTACTATTAACACAGAAGAGCCTTGAAAGTCAAATAATTGCTCCTTTTACTTTACAAAATTGAGAAGTGCTGGAAAACACAAAGATAATAAAAGTCAAGTAACAAAGCGAGGTTTGATGGCAACGGTGCTTAGGTCGCCCAAAACCATACGAAACAGCCTTGTTACCATACAAAGAAAGCCATAATGCTTTGGCCCCTGCTTTGTTGAAGTCGCTTTCTCTAGTAGCAATTATGTAGACCTACTAAAGATTTCTAAGCACTAATCATAGCACTTATCATATCAGCTAGTAAGTTGTGATAATGAAACTCTTCACTTTTTTCCTTCGTCAATCAAACCTATGTGCAATGATGATTTCTCAAACCAAGCCAATGCTTACTTATGTTCGTGACAATGGAAGCTATTTAGGATGTGTTTCTTGAAATTTTTGCTCTTTGCATTAGTTGCGGCATCGAACGCTTCCATGAATCCGAATAGCATCGAGCAATTCTATAATAGGTTTGTAAAAATATTCCAACAAGATTCCTTCGCAATGTCGACTTTGCAGAGGCTTAGAGCAATCTTCTAAAACTACTCTCCTTGAGAAATCGGATGCAGGTTCAGGTTTGCGATTTGTCCTTTTACTTTACTGTATAATTTAAATAGAAAATTGTTCTCAAAACTTTTTTGTTGTAGCTAAAGTGGGAGGTGTTGCGGTTCCCAACATGCTAGATCCGTTTTTTTGGACCGTGATTGATGAAGCGTACCTGTACAGACTTCAACGAGAAGCTTTGGCTTATAGCTGAACACTTTGATTGTAATTAGCTACGTTTCAAAGGGAAAATAGGAAGATTAGCTGACCAACTTTCAAGAATATCACAGTTCAATAAATTTTCTGCGCTATTTACAAGGAAAGCATGTTCAGTCCACGTGGCTTCTTCAGATCGGATGTATAAGCTACTGAAGAGCATAAAACGATGTTTGTGAATTAGGAATTATGGCATTTATTGGATCAAAAATTCAAATATTCTTTAGGATAAATGAGTTGCTAAAATTTTACTATTACAGTTAAAAGTGTGATATGTTTTTTTATTTAGAGAAATTGTTGATGCTCTGATAATCGTCACTGCTCCATCAAAGCGTTAAAATACTATGACTGTTTTCGTCCTACATGCACTCAGTTTTTTGCCCTAGTAAACGCTTATAACTTCTCGTCCATAGACCCTCCGTAGGTTAGGAAGATAGATTTGGAATCAACGTTTTATGCCCCTCAGCTTTTGTACTCCCATCTAAAAAGGTCACTTTGAATGAACATGCGTCCTTTGTCAGGTATTAGAAAGTACTGGAGCAAATTCAAGAGGAGGTGAAGACGGGGACTTACATTTTCGTAAGCATTGCAGCTTCAGAATCGAGTGTTCTTTCTTTAGGGCTTCTTGCAATTCTTTTAGGTTGTCCTAAAAGTGAACGCATTTTGTAAATAGATCGCGGTTTTCCTTTCTCTAGCAGACTAGGGTAGTTCGATAGAGTGAATAAAGCGCAAATAACTACCAAAGACAAACGTAAGTCGTAATTTAGGTAAAATTTGGAGCCAAAAATCAAAATATTCCAGCTATTTCAAAAATCGAATTTCTCCCAAAAAAACTTCTACGGACTCCAACTTGGCCATCATACAGACACATATAGTAGTACAAACGCATTTGCTGGATTTTTCCCGCGTATGAAAATCGAGAAAAAATGTGATCAAAAAAAGCCAGCTTCGCCCCAGCTCCCTTCATACATGTGATTGTATACCGCAAGCATCGATGAGCTATATGTGTCCTGTTAATCGAGAAATAGCGAGCTTAACGTAAAAACCCGAAAAAATGACATTTTGCATTTTCGGGCTATTATTTCTCAACATTGGGCCCTGAACAAATCTATCAATGCACTCCACAATAACTATGTCTACTGTATGATGACCATGTGTGAGGTTCGCAGTTTTGGATGAATGACTTTGAAATTGTGGGGTGAACTCTTGTTCATCTTTTAGAGGATCACACTCAGTTTGTATGGCAATTTTCGTCCATTTCAGATATTAGAGCATGTGAAGTTTCATAAGATAGATAGAACAACAATGATACAGATACCTAGAACAGCGAGATATGACGCGTCCGCTCTTAGATCGCCTCATCTCCTCAGTGAAATTGTAGGTGCATAGACAACTTGAACGAAGTGTTTGCAATATGTGGCCGATCGAGGGCAGTGACCACCAATGAACGTTAGGACGCAGGCTGCCTTAATGCTAATTACATAGACAGATAAATGTTGACAACGTAGTGGCTTTGTCCAATCTCTTGAACAATACTTTTATCAAGCCGAGAAACACGCGTTACGCTAAGTTAGTACCAGGCGAACATTTGGCCAGCTTTTTTCCACGCTCTTCAGAATTTGCGCTAGAATTTTAGTCCCAATTACTTAAATGGCAGACTTTCTCATTACTTGTTAAAGAAAAGGAAAAGTATGTTTTGCAGCCGACGTATAGTTTTAGAAACTCTGTGACAGCTGTATTTTGTAATGGATAAAAATGATAAAGGTCAACTAGGAATTGAAGCTGAAACTCGGCGAATTCCGCAGATTCACAATGGTCGTTAAGAAAGTTATAAAAGGAAACAATTTAGTTTCGAGAATTGATGCGCTTCTAAGGCTTTTAAATTTAGTTTGGCCATAAATGATCACCGGGGCAGGTAACATTGTTTTTTGCTGTCAGCAATGTGAGATTTTGCTTAACAGCTATTGAGATTGCCTTTTAGCATATCGTGATCATTGCGATAGTGGGTGGACTTACTTCGACAAAACCGGAGCTTGCTATAAGGTACGTGAGAACTTCATTTAAGTAGAAGGTAAGGGCAAGTCATGTCCAGATGATTCTGGAAATAAAAAATATCACCATTATGATCAAGTGACTTTATTTTATACATAAAATATGTAGTAACTAAAAATCAAATCAAGAGATGATTTTAGTAAGATTAAGTGAGCAAGTATTCTTCTCACAAAAAGAACGGTCCCAAGTTAAGTGGAATGAAATTGTAATTAGATGCATATTGATGAGCTGATTCCAAATATACTTTTTATAACTGCAATGCGGTTCTTTGGAAAAGTTATAAGCGTTTAAAACTTTGAATTTGGCAAGCATTCAGTGCCACACCTTCAAGAATTAGTTGCTTTAAAACACTTATTTGTGTTCGGTAATGACTTTATTATATTCAATATGGCGTTTTTATGCATTTGTAACCCACGCACGGTTGATCTGTAGACTGCTGGCAAATAGACAAGTCGGCCGAATGTGGCGATACGACGATATTGCGGAAGGTACGCTTTAAGCCTAACATCCTGTGGCAAATGATGAAAAAGCCGCAGTAGCTTACGAAGTCGGCTCTTTCATGTCGGGTGACGCCGCTCCTGTCGTTCATGCATACGGGCCTTAATCTACTCATTCAATGCGCATATTGTGCGTGCAAAAAATCATTGCATTCGCGTGCTCACAATCTAATCATGCACACCATACATTTTTGGTATGGACAGCTATTAGGTTGGCACATAAGTTTTGCAACTTTTCCCGTTACTTTTTTCCTATTTTATGTAGCAATCTCATTTTGTGGCTTCATGTAGACCGTGAAGTAAGCTGCGAGTCTGCGCAAACCGTTTGATTTTTGACAACGTAGTACAAAAAATCTAAGCATTTTTGAAAACTGCTGAAAATCGAGGTTTCACGATTTTTTGGCAAACATGAAGCCCTGCGAAACCTGATTCAAACATATGAAAAAGCAATTATAGGCAGCATGTAGCTGGAAGTTGGCACATTGAAATCGGGAAAAAGAAATGAAATTTAAACACAAATTAAGGTGGGGCGCCTTTGAGAAGTTGAACAAGTCAAATGCGTCAAGTTTTGAAGGCAATTTGTCAATAACTAAGCTGCAAAAAGTCAGAATTCGCTATAACGTTGCACTATAAGGTAATCCTACGCGGTAAACACGAATCATATTCATTTGTCGCTAAAATAAGATTTATCTTTTGATCTCACGAACGAGGCCTTTTCGTGCGAAACGGATCTCATTTTTGTGATCAGCATGTAAAACAAGCCCTACAGGCCAAATTTCAGCAAAATCTAATGCATTCTAAAATTTTTCCCGTAGTACCGTATACCTACCGTAATCCTCACATAAAATGGTAAAATTCGGCAAAAATATCTGCATTAGAAGCTTACATCATATTCCTTATATTACCAAATAATGAATGCGCTACGTTCAAATAGACAAAAGTTATATAAAAAGTTGCATTACTTATGTGCCAACCTAATACATTTGAAGACATCCGGTATATCGTAAATCACCCACTGCGTAAGGACTAAAATCGACGTTACCTTTTGAGCCTTGTCGGAAACTCAATCGTATACCCAATGACCATGAAATGTAGCCTTTGATATGTGGTATACGTTATGATGTTTGCCTTGGAAAGCTAATCTCAAAACATCTCTGTTGTTTGCAGAATGATTCTTAGAAGGAGTTTAGTCGAATCTGCAAAGAAATGCGCAGGAATACTAGCTTAGTTTTACCATGAAAGGAGGCGAGTGGCACATATTGGCACGTGTAGAACCATGAACATGCATGGCGAGCTTGCCTCTGAATGCAGAGAAATACTTTGTCTTTGTTTGAACTGCTGCATTTGTTCTGACATGAGCTTTTTTTCAGAAAGTGGTAGCAAATACTAGGGTGATCAGTGAAAAATGGGGCACCTAGAGAACAAATGTAGATTCCTAAAAATGAAAGTGATTAAGCTTCCCAATTTTGATGTATGTTAGAATAAATTATCCCTTTCAGAAAATACCTATATGAAGTCATTTACATGCCTAGTAATTTTTATAGTGGCTGAAATGCAAAGTTAGTCACTTTGACAAATTATAGACTTCGGGCAGTATCTGCGCAATGAAATATGCGAAACCATCGAAATCTCAATTTAGATGTATGTTAGAATGCCGCAATGCATGAAGGCACAGTCACCAGATCCACGATGGAATGGTGGCCTCTATTTTCAAATTCAGCAGGTATGGCCATTAGCAGCTTTGAGAACAAAAATGCGTGCTATTCAATTCTTTGCAGGTGAACGCATGGTTTATAGGTACCTTCTGAAAGAGCTTTCTACGCTCTATCCATCCATAGGCAGATTAGCTCGCATTCTGTCTATCTTCCAAAATACGGATTGAAAATTGATTTATTGGTTGTTGGGCCAAAAAATCGCGTTTTTTCAAGTGTTTCGCTTTTTTTACCCAGAAATAGAAAGAAATCCTGTATGTTTAATAAACTGTTTGAAAGAGCATGGAGGGCTCCTTCAATGGCCTATCAATTTAACTTTACGGTATGGCAGCGCAAGAATGAGCAATGTTCAAAAAACCCTGTTCCAGTTTTTCAAGGCACCACGCGTAGGGTTGTGGGAGAGGAGCGTTGACGCTTTGCCAGAATAATAGGCGAAGGTTGCTTATATAAGCGACGTTTACGTTGAGCCTGCTTATTGTTGATCGAAACAAAAAATCTCAAAATACAAAAAAATCAAGGCTGCCCCATTTTTTACCGATCACTTAATAGGTTTGAGGCATTTCAAGCGAATGTTTCAATGGTTAACATATCTTCAAAATTTACGTTCACTGAGTATCCCTCTCTCGCTAGCATGTTGTGTGTATTACGGTAAATATAAATGGGCTGTTTCGACTTTTGACTGATCTACTGTTCCAATTGACGTTAGCTGGGTTGGTAGTAATCCAGTCGAAACGCGTAACTCAAACTCAGAGTTAACGCGCAGCATTCAAGGACTATTAATGCGTGCACAAGCAAATCAAATGGGGAAAGAAGCGATATGGCAGGATACCTCGTAAGTTTAGCTTATCCCAAGTGTAGAAACATAGCGTATTCGTTCCATGCAAGAAGCTGCGCGACGAAAGGCGCAGCTGAGCTCTCCAGTTAAGTTTGGTGAGTTGAGTGAGTTGAGTGGGTTTGGTGCGCATTTCAAGCACCCGCGACCAGAGTTAACTATGAGTTCCGTTAGAGGAAGAGAAATGGTGTGCAGAAGAGGAGGAGCAGCTAAAAGTCCTCCTGGGTAACTTGGACGTAGTCTCAGCAAGCATGAGGGGTATCGTGATGCACTGCTGACCACCGGAGAGTGAAACTTTGGCCGTGAGGGTTATTCGCGGTTAGGGTAGGATTGTAGTAATCAGGCCAGAGTTACATAATAACTTAAAAATTAGGCCAGTGGCGCCACGGTGCTAACCACTATTTTGTTGCCCATTTTCACTGCAGGGATGTATAGCGCAGGTTACGGTGGAGATACTGTAGATCAGTCAAAATTACAGAATTTGAACTGAAGCTTGGCAGGGTACTGCACTTTGATTACCAATATCATAGCCACATAGAAATACCTTCTATAAAAAGGTATCTATACCGTAGACGGATCAAAAATCGAACATGCTCAGAATTTTGTTTAGGGGTCATTTAGCGTGCTAAATATGAATTATTCTTTTTCGCTGCAGGAACATGCGATGGGGTAACGGTAGATGTGTTTTAGACTACACTATCTGTGTCACGCAATAGTTTCCCTACGTTAGGCGCTACTGCGAGGGCTCGACATGATTTCCAGAGGCATGTAGAAATCCTTTATTAACAATCTCTAGGCGATTGGTGCGTCCACGTCTTCTCAGCTTGGCTCCTCGATTTGACCCAACCGCACTCCTCGTAGCACCACCTACGTCAAAACTGACTTAAGCCAAGCGGAGACGCCTTATATAACGGCCCAAGAAGGTGTGCAGGTGCCCGTTCGCGTGCTCCCGACACGAAACAACCAACGTAGCGAAACCATTGAAACACCAAATAAACGCATATGAATTGACTACAAAGGACTAAATAAACACAACAGGGAACAACAGAAGTACAAAGGAAGCCCGGCGACTTTACAGCTGAACTGCTGGAATTTAGCCATTGTCTGACTGTGCAATCAATAATATGCTGTACGTTTTCAATGTGGATTATTATGTTACGGTGGGCATATACGGAAGAAAGGCGAAAATCATATTAAGTTTACCTTTTTCAGCAGAGATGCAATAATATCAGATAGCTTTAATTGTTTACTTCTAATATCATTTAGGTGCTGTCAGCATGAATGACCTCAAGAGAATTATTTGAAGGTTGTTATATTATCTAAAAGTCACATGAAAATCGAAACATTGAATTTTTAAATGGCCTTCAAATTTTCGATATAACTCGAAAGTCAATCTTAAATTTTGGCCAGGTATTTGAGAATTACAGATTTCGGATGTACGATCACTGATAGTTGAAATTTAGATATTAGGTAGTAGAAAATTTGAGTTCTATCAAGTTTGAGGCCATATCAATTAAGGAGAGAAGATGCGGGGGGGGGGGGGGGGAGGGTTGTTGGTTTACGGTCTATGTGCGTCCTGTGCATCCTGCTACTGCTTCGAGAATTTGTGGAAAACAACATCTATACTTCAGAGAAAAGCCTAACGCCTTTCGACATTGACATGTATATGTGAGATATCTATCACGGGGATTCACTAATCTATAGCGGCAATGTCAACAAAAGTGGGTACTTGAGCTACTAGTCTAATAACTCGGTCGGCTTCGTGCGCTGACTGAAGTTCATCATGGCTTCGTCGCAGTGTTTTGCAGTGGTGCATATGGCAACTTTTCAACATCTGTATTTGGGTTCTCCAGTGGCAGCACAAAACTCTGAGCTTGAGACTCCAAGTAAACGATTACTACGTTTATAATTATAATAGACAGATGCTGTGAGGATGTTAGCAGAGGTAGA